ACTGAAGTGTATTATGGGTGGAATTTTTTTATCTGTGTGGTGAGGTTTTGCTGTGTCATCCATCACCATACCCCCTGCTTCCACTGGGAAGGTACTCCTTGGTGAATTACTGGTGGAACTGGGTAGGACACACATTTTTTACATTATTTTTAACCCACCATTTTGTGAAAATCTGGCATATCAGAAAACTTGTATCTCAAAAGAAACGTGGCAATGACAAATATCTGCATGCATGCCCACCATGGACCTCAGTTTTCTGGAATTCAGGGGTGTGTGTGTGAGGAAGTACTGAGGGGAGGGGACAACAACACAGAGTGGGAAGGGTGACAACTCAGTGGAAGAGCATCTGCTTTGCATACAAGAGGTCCCAGGTTTAATTCCTTGCATTTCCAGGTAGGAGACACGCTAGCCAGAAACTTTGGAGAGCTGCTGCCAGTCAGTGTAGATAATACTGAACTAGATGGATCAATGGTCTGACTTGGTATAAGGCAGCTTCCCATGTTCAAATGCATCTCATCAAACACTACCAACTATTGTGGACTTGAAACAGTGAGATACAGTGCAATTAAAAGTGCTCATTTGTAGACAAAAACGCAGACAGAAAAAATGGATCTGTGTAACCCATTAATTCCCTGGTGTGTACACAGACACTGATAGCCATCAATTAGAGTGGATCAGATTGATACATAAATACAATCAATTCATAACATTAGCTTCAAGTTACAGGGTTTGTATGAATGTGAAAGGACTTAAATGTTATGCTTGGGAATAGGGGTGTTTGTTGAAATTTGTATCCATGTAGCTTTTTGTAAATAGTGACAAGTCCAAATAAACTGAATGTTACCCAAAAAAACAAAACCAAAAAAAAAGCTACGTAAGTAATCAAAGAATATGTTTTTCAGTTGGCCAGAAGCATAGTAATCTGTATTCATAAATGGTTCAACACAGTGTGTGCTGCCCAGAACTTGGCTATTTTTATAGTTATAAGGATTGCCAAGAAAACAAAAAATAGAGGGGAAAGCATTGAAAGGGGATAAGCATTTAAACTTTGATGAGCAACAATAATAATTTTGGTCTTTAAAATGAAAGCAAAGACTGGAAGTGAAAGAGAGAATCAACATATTCAAGAAGTACCTATGTAAACTTCAGTTAATGTTGGATGGAGATACCTAAATCCACTCTAGAATTAGTATGGGCTGAACCAACTGATTCCACCCCACTGCTACAAAGTCCATTAGAGCTTTCTGTTCCAGTGCTCTTGCTCTTCAGCACTCATAAACTCCTTTCATGTATACGTTCCAGGAATGAACACACATGTCTGCAAAAAGGCATCTTGGCTGCAGGCTCTGCCCCCAGTCTATACATGTTTATTAGAATTTCTAAAGAGTCCCCATTCAAGCAGCTGTACACATGACAGACTCTCTCCAGATGTTCTAATCAATATGCATGGTTCAGGAGTGGAATCTGCTGCGCTTCTCCCTCACATGAATTTAATTCATTAGCCTCAGCATCAACTCCTAAAAAGAGTGTGACTTTCCAGTCTTTGAGGCAGGCGTGGGGAACCTGTGGTCCTCCAGATGGTGCTAGACTACAGTTCCCATCATCCCTGATCATTAGGGATGCTGGCTGGGGTTGACGGCCATTCAAGTCCCACAATGTCTATAATGCCATGGGTTTCCCATCCCTGATCTGTTCTAGACCATTATTTGATCACAATGTGCTATCAAAGAATAGGAAGTTTAGAGTTGTATTTTTCCTTGTGCAGTGGAACAATCTCCCCCTCTCCTTCCCCCATGTGCCAGCTGAATCTGTTCTGGAAGTTCCCCCAACCCCCTAAGTCTTGCACTAGCACAAAAGTGCCATTGAATACCACCCACAGGATTATAGAATAGTGGAAAAGAGCAATGCTTAGTCATTTCAACCAGACTCTTGCCTTGAGATGATGATAAGTTCAAGGGTAGTATTGTCTACTATGTAGCATGGTGGAGCTGCTATTGAGAAAAAGTAAAGGGCAAATCTCCCTTGAGCATTCTGTTCTTTGGACCCAGGCCTTGGTGTATGACTTTCTCCACAAATATACTTGTAATGGTTGTGCATCAAAAAAATGTATTGTGTTATTTGGCAACAAATCTAAACTGATACTCCTGCATAGACCAGTGGGTATGATCTGAATCAGCAGCAGCCACACAGATAAGTGTGACTGATAATGGTTCATTATCATCATCATCATCATCATCATCACCATCATCTTATTTGTATCCCGCCCTTCCACTAAAACCATGCTCAAGGCAGCTTACAACATGAAAATTACAATTTACAATTACAAACGTAACAAAAGTAGTCATAAACAAGATATACAACACATCAAAAAGTACACAACCAAACTAAACAATTTCCATATAAATCAAAACTTCTAAAAATAAAGATACAAAAAATTAACATCAACAACAGCAAGGACCGTTCAGCAGGTTCACCTTTCATAGCTGGAGTCAGTCAATCAGTCAGTCAGTGCCTTGCCCTCCCAGGCCAAGTGGAAAAAGGGCCAGCAAGGCAAGGAACATGTCTTCCAGGTCTCACAGTCAAGAAGGTGTCTGGCCTTTTCAGCGGCCTCCTCTTTTGTATCTGGAGTCAGTTAGGGCGCTGCCCTCTCAGGCCAGGTAAAAAGAGGCTAGCAAGGCAGGGAGGTCTTCTAGGACTCACAGCCAGAATGGTTATTACTATTACTAATTAAACAAGTGATTACTATATTGGTCACTTATGGTAATTTCTTATGATAGAATCATACCAAGAACTAATTAGTGGTCTTGGTGCACTGAGGGAATTTTTTTTTTTTGACTATGGCAGACCAACACGGCTACCTTCTGTAACTGGATTATATTGGTATGTAATTTTTATGATAGATGATATTGTGGCTTTGCAGGTATTTAGTTAGAACATCCATCATTCACACTTAACCAGAGTGTGTGTGGCTACAGTTTGTAGGCAATAGGATGAGACTACTTACTTGGACAGCTTACGGAAACTGGTTTTATTTATTGGGTTATAAATTCTACTAATTGACATTATCAAAAATAATGTGTTCCTCTATTCACAGGAGGGTCTAACCATTCTTCTAGTCTTAGCTGTAAAAAAATCAGAGAAGCTCAAATATGCTTCCAACCTGCTTTAGAATCAATTGTGTCATGATCAGTAGAAAAAGTGACCACCTCCATTAGCACTATTCAAGCACTGCTCTTCGAAAACTATTTGCAGTTGAAAGATCACCACCCACAGATATCCACAGGACACTTAACTACCACAAAAAAATAATTAGTGACCACAAGCAATGTCAAATTGCTTCTCGAAGTACAGCAAAATTATGGAGCAAGGTAAGTTACAAACTAAGGGGGAATAAATTGTAAATAATAGCTAGAGCCTGGAACTTGAAATCAATCTGAATATTACAGAGGATGATTTTAGAGCAAATCAGAACTGCATTCTGTGCATAGAATATAAATGGCTAGCAGGTTTTTAACTAGGCTTTTTGGAAAGCCTCATAATCATACAACAAGCACAATTACTTCAATAAGCCTTCAGAGTGCTCCCCTATGCAATGGACTGCTTCTACTTACTCTGAAGACTGAATATGTGGTTTGGTGTGTCTAACCCATAGCTATAGCCCTCAAATAAATAACTTTCATGGAAGCGAGATAGTCATTCTGCACACAGATAAGCCACTGAAACCCTATTGACATCTACAGGATTTAGGTAACCTGAGAACAATATTGCAGGTCACAATCTACAAAAAGACTTTTGTGGGAAGATGTTTGGGATAGATACAGCCATTGCATTTGACTGATCAAATGTATATCCAAGTATCATATAAGTGTATATATATACATAAATTGCCTTATAAATCATCCAATTGTTTGCATTTAGGATATGATTTCCCCACTTCTCCTTTATTGCTATTTGAAAGGCAGAATGAGTTGGATTGCAGAGAAGACAAGGGAAAAAGTTATTTTTAAAAAATCTGCCAAAAACTATTGGAAGGAGATGCTGTTCAAAGGCTGTGATCCAGTACAGGTAGTTTTTACATTGTAAATGCTGGTTCTGGTTCCAGAAAGGAAGAGAACCCTCAAGTATTAACACACAGAGGCACAAACACACACACACACACCCGACTCATCCTCTCCAACTCCACGTACAAGCCGCTGTACTTCAGCCCCACCCCCCTGGTGTGCCTCCAACTTTCGGCTTTCCTTCCTGTGATGCTGAGTTAACCCTACTGAGAAAACAGAGCAAACAAACCACCCACTTTCGACGCTGGAGACTTCCTGGAATATTAGCATGCTAGATGGCAAGTCTTGCCGACTTAAGGATTGAAGACGAAGATGAAAGATCTTTGAAATGCTGCTTGCTATCTCCCCTCTCTTCTCTCACTTCCGCTCTTTAGGGAAATATATCCCCCCTCTTCTTCCTTTCCAAATGATGAGCATTAGACATGCACTGGCAGCATGGCTTACACACGATTAAAGGAATTAACGTACGTACGTCTCTCTTTCAGCAACCCCAAAAGGCTGCTGGAAAATGTTTTGCCACCTTGCTAGCCCCCCCCCCCCGCAAATGAATGAATTAATAACACAGCATGGGACCGGGAGTAAACAGGTTTTCCTCCGCGAGTGTGCTGCACACAGCAGGTTGCCGAGTTCTCCTCCTCACACACGTCTGCGTGGAAGGTTTACAACATTTCAAAAAGCAGCTTCCAACACAACCCCTGAAGCCACCCACTTTCCCCTCTTCTACAACCGCTAACACACAACGACGAGCTCAGACACATGCACACCCTTCGCTGTCATTTCCCCCCTTAGTGCGAATTTGCCTCTAACCATCAGTGTGTAGCTCTGTTAGTTGCAAGTGGCACATGCTTCGCTTTGCTCTTTTTAAAATGCCCAGTGCAAAAATCCAGTCTTTGCAAACACACATGAGAAAGGGAAAAAAAGGGGAAAGATTATCCTTACCTCTCGAGGGTCTTCTTTGTTTGGTTTGCAGAGAAGAGAACGTGCCCATTACAGCACCCATTGTAACAGCTACTTGGGTGAGGGGCTACACAAAATATGCTTCCCCTCCCTCCTCCCAGTGAAACACCACCACCCAAAAAAAATCTGTTTGGAATATCTACTCGGAGAAAAAGGAGGAGGGAAAAGCAAAGCACTGCAGCTGAGCGTTCAGCAAGCGTTAAGCTTTCAGATTTTTTTCTCCCCCTTTCAGTCAACACACACATGCACTGACTCACAGCCGGCTGCACTCTTATTATTCAAAACAGCTCCCCATCAAAATTTAAATGCTAGGTAGATTCCCTCAGACCAGAGCTGGCAGCAGATGCATCAAAATATTTACTGGAGCACAGCCACACAAACACACAGGCTAATTTTTTCTCTCGTTTCCTTATGGCTCCAACCAGAAGCCTGTAGGTCTACAGGGAAAACATCAATGCATCTCTTCCATTGTATACTAAACTACCATTCTGTAGGCATGGCGAAGGTCTCAAGGGATGCCAAGGGACTCGGGCTGAGTACCAATCATGAATGAATGAATGAGAACTTGCTGAATGGAAAATAATAGTGAACCAGCTGTCAAAGTTGTGGTTCTGCAGAAAGCTAATTCCTGCTGATTAATGGTCTTGCTAAAAAGGCAGGAAAGAGCAGTCACTTAAAACTCTTCCCAGCCAGAGGACTGGGGAAAGCAATTGCTTTCCTCACAAAAAATAATAACCAACAGCTAGTAAACTACACCATGTCCATTGTCCCTAGGCTTCTCTTACATGCAATGTACAGACATGGCATGTGTATTTTAAAAATGTGAATCACAGTTATTTTAACTTGTGCAAAATATAGAAGGGACACTGGCTGGTAGCAGTGCACCACTGTCTTTCCCGTAGAAAATATATGTGATAGGCATCATCATTATCTGAATCCCAATCAATTCGCTTTACATTCACATTCCTGCTCCAACCATATAACCCTATCTAAATGTCACTCTTCAACTGAGGCGTTTGTACTTCTAAGGTTTCAGGGAAATCCAGGTTACACTATGTGTTGGTATTGACCATTTTGGTCAGAATATGATGTAGATTGTCTATTTCACACTAAGAATGAAAAATGGGCAAAGGGTAGAGGGAAGTCAAGCCTAATTAAGCAACCAAGTCAGAGCACAGGAGTCAGCTTCCTGATCACACATCCTTTCAAGAGAGCAGCATTTGTGATAATATTTCATGGTATTGTGGAAATACCCTGTTCTACAGCAGAAAAATGTATTCTATCTTAGTGGTTCTATAAGTCATTTCTATATTATTATTATTATTATTATTATTATTATTATTATTATTATTAAAACAAACATTAACCAAATTTGATACACTAAAAACATTTGATTACATTAAAAACTATAGATTTCAGATCATTAATAGGGTGAAAATGATTCCCAAATAAAGTTTAGAGTGGTTGCTTTTTCTGGAATAAGGAACACTTTGCACATATTGTTAGAAATATATATATATCATTTTACTGCCTCAACACCTCCCTGCCAAAGGATGTAAGGCTAAGTTGTGCCCCCAAATATATTTGGGTTTTGTATGGTTGAACCTGATGCTTTGTACTGTGGAGGTTTTTTCTTCTTCTTATGGACTATCACACCCACCCTTGCTTTTCATACAGAAATTACGGCACGGAACTTAAAATAATGCCAATCCATGCAATGTACACCTCACATAGCCTTATTGAATATACCCTCTTACATATCAAAATAGCAAAGTCACAGTAATACCTTTAATAGACCCAACCCAAAAATCACAAACAATGCAATATTTAGTCTGAGCAGGGCATGAATGACAGAAGCTACCCTACCAGCTTGATTACAGCTAGAGATGGTTGAAATCTCCCTAAGAAATAACATCTTTCGTCTTCCCTTGAAATTCCTGCACATGTTTTTCCTGGTGCTTCGCCTGAACAGCTATGACAATTAAAGATGTGGCCAACATTCTTAAACATCTGAACCCAGTATTGGAACAACATTGCTTTACCATCTCTCAAAAATCCTAAAGTGGCTTTGCCTAAGCAAAACCTTCCAAATTCCCTTCCACTATCTATTTATTCAAAACTCAGTGGGTACTGACAATGCTAATCATGATACAAAGGATGAAATTCACAACCTCTGTGTTGCACAGAGCACCTAATTCGGCCTCCTTTCAGTCTCACTGTCATTCAGTGACAGATCCTTTGTGTGACATTGCATCCTGTTACTCACATTTTGCATGCATCTTTCAAGCGAAACTTGTATTTTTGTGTGCACTTTTTGCATACACACAAAAACATTCAGAAGTACAGAGAAATCCCACACACGATCCCACACAACTTTCCACATCATGACTCATGCATTTTGGGTGACAGCACCAAAACGCTAAAACATGAACATGTAAAATGAACTGCCCTACGTAGTTAATTACACAGAAGAGATGCCACAGGGAAAAACAAGTGGAAATTAACTCCTTTCATAATGCTTTTTGGCATTTGTTGGACTGCACCCAAAAATAAAAGCATTTGATTGGCATAGGCCAATTCAGCCAACCACCTACGTGGAGAATGGTGGGAAATACACTGCCAGCTTTTGTGAGGAAATCATGAAGGGTACTAGCACAGCAGAGTTGAACCCGTTACCAAGATGTCTGTAATTCTTGTAGCTTCAGTGCTAGAGTCTGAGTATGGTAGCTGCTGTTCTCACAGAGCACCATGTTTTTCTGGGTGGATGAGAGCCTTAACAGTTGTTTTTAATTTTTCTTGTAATTTATATTTTTCATTACAATCTGGCTTTAGCATAATTTTACCATAGAAAGGTAGTTTTGTATTGTCCAAACAAAAAAGAAACATAAACTGGGAGTACACCTGCCACTGACAGCCTGACCCCAATTGCATCCCCACTTCCTGCTTACCAATGTACATGGCAACCTCATTCACAACCTACCAACTCTTATCTCCATGTTCCATCTAAACCTCCCCCTCCTCTGCCTCTCAAGCAGACCCATGCAAAGCTTGTCTGAGCCCAGGGCAGGAGTCTTGTTAGAACAAAGTTACTGAACTTAAACAAAAAAGCAGCCGGTCCCTAGTGGGGCCACACAGCAGGCTTAGCCCTCCAAGGCCAGGGACAGAGGCAGATTTAGGGGAGTGTAATTGGTTCAGTTGCACTGGGTGCAGAGCCTTGGGGAAGCAGCAACTATGTTGTAGACAGGAAGGTGAGAGGCAAGGAGGCGTTGAATTTGGGGACCTCAAGGTCCACCACTGCCCAGGCCAAGTATACCCAGCTACCTCCCCCTCTGAACGGGGCCTGCTCTCAGGCTTGGTGCAATCTGCTCTGACCCAATCTATTGCTCTTGAGCTTGCTTGTGGATCAGAACACAACACTTGGTTGGATTGCACATTGGATTATGGGCTGCAGTCCATTTTATATGATATGTACAAAATGTACAAAAAGATATGTACAAAATGTGTATTTTATGGATGAATGCACTGAAAAACATTCAAAAATGTGGCTGCTTTGTTTAAAAAATGGTTATCCTACATTGAAAGTATAAACAAAAAGCCTACAATTCAAAAGTAGACTTATTGTGTGTCATTTCAAGAAATCCACAGAAAATGGGACAGACCGGACCGGTGATGGAGTGTTGGAACAACTGAAACATGATGAAATTAGTTGCTCATCCCTAACCTCAGTTCTCTGCTTGGGTCAAAGAAGAGTTAATTTTTTTAAAAAAAAGTTTCTCAATGTGAAATGCGGGGTGGGGGGACCCATTAGGGATGAAAACTAAGATCATCATCACCCATTCTGATGGTATACATGCTTGAGATTCATGTAGAGTAAAAAATGAAGGAGGAAGGAGTGACCTCACATATACCCACAGCAAGGCAGGGTTGTCACTGCATAGCCATATATATGTCTATGGTGGCAACAGCATTTTTAAAAGCAAAGGAATGAAGCCCCAAAGCCAACCCACCCATGTGGCTAGGTGAGGCAACCGCCTCAGGTGGAATGATCCACAGGGGCAGTAGATCCAGTGTCCAAGGAATGCATCACCCATTGCTGCTGCTGCTGCTGCTGCAACAGCTGCAGTGTGTTTCTTAGAGGCCAGATCTATCGCCTCCTCAACAGCCCCCCCACCACCACCTGTACTCTTGGTGAATATGAGGCTCCTATCCATGTCCCTGATATAACTCTTCATTCACCTCTTCTTCTCTCTCAGGGGGAACATATTGTGGTTCATCTGAGGCTCCAAAAGGACTTGGGCTGGCCCTGCCCAAAGCCTTACAGCGCCAGAGCATGACACGGGAATGAGGGAGGTAGAATGGAAGCTGATGAGTGAGGAGACATCATGCAACATACACATACAAGGGCACAATTACACACAAAAACAGTAGTGGGACGGTGAATTTATGGCTCAAAGCAAAGGGGGGGGTGTCAGCAGTGGCAGCCACAGTGAGTGCAATTGACAGGTGTCCACCAGAGTGTTTTTTCAAAAGACTGTGTTGGCAGTCTAGCCTCCTGGTAAGCATGTGAGCACATACTTTATCAGCAAGGGAATGACCTGGTGGTTTCTTCAGGTTGGGGCTAAATGTAGATCTCAACACTAAAGTGTTAAGAATTGCTAGCAGCCAGTTCCTGCACAGGTCTACTTGATTCATGTTTCTTCCTCCCATGTAAATGTGTTCTGAAGTGAAATTCTGTGAATTTCCTCTCTGAACTTTCACTTAACAATTTCATGTAGTGTTTAACTTGAATGACTCCTTTAATACTTCCAGATTTACCTCCCAACACAACACTTGCTCTGCCCTCCACCACCATAATCAGATGAGCACAATAATGAGCAGAAAAAACACACCCTCAGTGATCATTGTCACCAACATCATCCTGCACCCAAAGAATGGGGTAACACCAACCCACCCCTGGGGTGGGGATATGCTGCTGTGTGTTTTTTGCTGGTGCCTCTTGTCTCTCTATAGCTACATTTAATTTCAAGTCCCAACCCTATTGGGATCAGTAACAGAAAAATTAATTATTGAATTGCACAAGGGATGTGTACTGTGCTCAGGTCCTGTCTGTGGATTTCCCATAGGCATGCAGTTTGCCACTGTGAGAACAGAATGCTCTTCTTATGCTCATATGGGTGCAAAAATGGTTCTGAGATGTATAGGAGCTACCAGGGGATGAGGAAATAATACAAGTGTAGGATAGGAGTACTGAGCATGTGAAGAAAGCATATGGGATTTAGTAGCTAATCATATATAATGAGATTCCTAGGATACGGGTATTTGGAAGACTTTTGAAGTTTAGACTTCAAAAAAATGTAGACAGTTCTAAGCATTTGAATAAATACAGAATTTAAACAGAGTCTTGGGGAAAGTAATATATAAACAGCAGTTTTGGAAACTGATACAAATTTTTC